CAGGAGCGTGGGAAGTTCAAGAAGATGAGGCTGGCACCTCCCTAAGGAATTCATGGTGTTGTGGCTGGCTGGCTTGGGAACTTGGGGTCAGTCTTGGGAGATTCTGTCTTGAGGTGGAAGCTAATAAACGCAACAGAACTGTATTTGCATTGTCTCGTGGAGTTCTTTGGGCTGAACCTGACACTAAGCAGCCTTGATCTGAATATATACAGCATATCATCTCTCTATGTAGTTCACTGTTGGTCTGTTCTTGCTATTAGAATGTTTTTCCCAACATCCAGATGGAATTTTGGGGATACGTAGAGCCAGCATTCCATGTTCTCCTTTGAAGACCAAGGAGAAGAGTCATGGCCTTATTCTATGCAACACCCCTGAGAGGTTATCAAACCCTAACTCCACCTTCCAATGCCCAATCCTTCATCCTTCCTTGAAAGCTTAATTTCTCCATCCCTATTCATCTTCGCTGCCCTTCTTAGCGTCCATTCTATTTTATCTAAATCCTTCTCAAAGGGCCCAGAACTGAGCCCAATACTTATTAGCTTTGGGATAGAGATGTCCCCATGCTAAGATTCATGAGATGTTATTCTAAGCAAGGAATGAAATATGCACCCATGGTTAGTTGCAGTTGGCCTTTGATATTCCCAGTGGTTAATTTTAATCTTCCTGACATGTGAATCGTTGATTTAAAATTATTTCATCTGAAATACATGTTGGGTTTGATTGTACTCTCAAAGCAAAGGATTGGAAACATTTTAATGTTTCATCAGAAACCTGATCATCTGCCCAAAATTCTGGTTATAATGCACATTAGAAATAAAAATAACAATAATTGTAATTGTAATAGAACAACAGAAAGAAAGTGCAAGAGGAAGAAAAGGAGAACATCAACCCCCCTCCACTGTTTTTAGTATTAATCAATATATTAAAATGATTAAATACTGGCTCCTACCCACCCCCACAGTATTAAGCAATACTGTGATATGAACTATTTTCCTTTGCTGTGATTATCATAAGCATGTTTTCATTTCCAGATTTTTAATGCTCGACACCCTTGCAGAACACCAGAAAACACGATCACATCCAACACCATCAACTTCAGTCTCCTAATCCACTCCAACATACCCGTTTCTTCTTCTCGAAAATCTGGATTCGAATTTAACGATGTACAAGTGCATTCCATATGCTCTTCTAACTTCACCAGAACTTCCTTTAATTTTGGCTTTTTTCTAACATATTCCACTTTTGCCACCTACGATTGACAAAGAAAATAATATTCAAGACTTGTTAGCCAGACAGTAGCCAAGGACAAGATTTTGAGCACTCATTTGCACAATAACTTCATGATTCAGTGTATGGATTGCTCATGCTTTGGGGGTGTATCTTTGAATTCACAGACAAGCAAACAAACTCTGTTTGTAACCACCCCCCATTATCTTGGTGCAAAACTGCTGAATCCCAACAGTGATCAGTGGTAAAGCAATCTTCTATGGGGAAACTGCATTGAAAACAGCTTCTCAATAATTCTGAGTGTGAGATTTAAGATTCAAAACAAGGAAAGTATTTTTTTAATTTTTTTTAATCCATCTTTATTTTAGAAGAATACAAAATATACACAAAATACCAAAATACACTCAAATAACAAAATTAAATGAAACTATCCTTTAAAAAAAGGGAAAAGGGGGAAAAACCTTTTAAAAATCTACCTTATATGTTAAATGTATAGTCACTGGTTTACTAATAAATACCGTATAAAACTATAATATAATCAGATACAAATAGCATAAAGTTCCTGCCAAAGTTGAACATTATCCTTTATTATCCTTTGATCAGTGGAAAATATTGCCTTTTCCAGGATAGATAAGTTACCCATTTCCAAAAATCATTCTTTAACATTTAGAATAATACCACTTTTCCAATTTCTCAATACTATTTTTTTAGCCACCCTCATGCCTGACACAACCATAACTGATAGACAGTCAAACAAAACAAGGAAAGTCTTGAAAATATTTATGGTGCTCAAAAAACAGTCCATTTCAAAACAAGGAGCTGGCCCTCCAAAAAGAAAAAGAAAAAGATGGTATTCATGACTTATGGATTAAGCTTTTATCAAATTAAATTGCAATGCTATTTTGGAATTGAGCAATTTAACTTTTAAAAGATATCCACCCCAGTGCAGTTGAACTCCCTATTTAGCATCAATTAATGGAATATTATGCTTTGCAACATCTAAGAGAGAAAAAATACTCCACTCCCGTTAAGTTCCAAAGGTACAACCATTGATTATATAGCTATTTTGCTGCTTAGATGAAGTGTTCAATCCCTGTTTTCTTCTTCGAACCACAGAGATGTCTAATCCAATGGCTTTCAAAATTGCTAAAATAAATTCACGTGCTGTGAAGTTTCACACAAATCCAGAGTTTGGAGTAGGGACAATGAGAACTACCTCATCACATTACTGGTACTGTCACTATCAATAACAGCTTTTCAGGTTCAGGTGGGAATTTATCCAGCTTGAACTCGAGATCTCGGAAAGCCTGTTTTACCCCCAAACTCTCCCTCCCCCTTCCGTTACAAAGAGCTTGTTGGCATAATAAAATTAATTCTGGAAAAGGAAGGCTTCTTTCATCAGTCGGATGTTGTCCAAGATAACTTGGCGGGCATTTATGATGTGAGTGGCATTTAGCCAATTATTGCTCAGGTCTGACTTTGTAGCTTAGCACAACTTCCCTTGTTCAAGTTCAGTTGTTTTTAAAATATTCTTTTGCAGCTGGGGTATTTTGGCAGGCAAAATATCCTTGAATATGCTTGAAAAAAGGTGTGTTTTTTTTCCAAATGGCAAAGATACCAACATTCGCTATCCTGAAATGCAGACTTGTGTGACAGACAGTTGACCGGCAGTGGGGTGGATGTATTTTGAAAAATCAAAGAATCCATAATACATTAACTGTCACGTAAGCAGTAGATTTGCAATCTATTTGTTGGGATAGAGAGCAATAAGACCCATTGTCTCCTTTCACCAATAAGAAGTTTGATTCTTAGATCCAGTTTCATAGGCACCCAACATGGCTTGAATATCAAACATCATATTTAATGCTACAAAGTAACTCTAAACCGCCTTCGTCCGACTGCTCTAGATGCAAGGTCAGACTCTGAAAGGCATAATACAAAACTGAAGAGGAAAGAGGAAAGCAATCTATTTCTTTGTTGACCTAGGTGGGCTGTGGATTCATTTACACACATACACACACTCCTTGTCATCCTTGTGAGGTAGTCCAGACAAGAAGCACACCCAGAAGGACTAGCTCTATCTTAATGGTAAGGTATATTAACAGAATCTTGCAAGTCTGAAAGTACATCTCCCCTCCCCTCGCTTTTACAGCCCAAGAAACTCGAGAGGATCCCTTCTGAGATACTTTCCATGCACCCATTCCTTCTGTGGGCTCAGCTGCCTCTTATCTGACAATGGCCTAGTCTGCAGCTCTTCCTCCTATCTCCCAAGGTAATTTCCACATACCATTACACCCCCTTCCCATGTTTATAAATCTTTATGGAATACCCCCCACTCTGTTGTTATTTAGGAAAAACATTAAATAGAAAGTATTTCAGTAGCTGACCACAGGAGAAGACATGATTATTTTGGTCTTGAGCTTGCTACTGTTTAGGTTTTTTTACATCTAAATTCTGTAAGCTGCCGAAAGTCCAATGTGTAGGCAGCATACAAAATTGCAATAATAAAATAAGAATAAATCATTCCGGGGGGCAGGGGTAGAGAAACATTCTTTTTATGCCTAGTGGTCTATGGACTTTGGGTAACTGGCACTTACATGAACATCTACCAACATCCAAGAGGGACAATCATTAGAACATTGGTAACAGATTAGAAGATGACCAGCAGCAAAGTTGATGGACTCAGTTACAGTAGCAATGAGGACACCATTAGGAGACTTGAAAGACCAGGTTAGGGAGAGATCTTCATGGAGAAAATCTATCCATGTGGTTGCTAGGAGTCAAAAATGACTTGAGGGCACACAAGCAATCAATCTAATAGATTAGAAAAAATTCAGAAGGGTACAATAAAGGTGGTTAGGGTGAGATGTTCAACCAAGAAAAACATGGTTTTTACAGGTGCTTCACTGTAGCAGTAAAGTTGTAAACCTCGGAAATTGCTATTCTACAGTGAGAGTTTCTCACGGGGAGAAACGGTTAAGCATATGAAACCAGAAAATGCCAAACCACTTAATTAGGCAATTTACAAATTCAACTAAGGCTACTGCAAATATAATAATCCTTAAGGCACACATAGAGAACCTCAAAAATGCAAACAGTTCAACCCCAAATCCTGAAAACAATTTGAAGGCCAAACAAAAAAACAAATCTTTGTTACAGTGGATTACAAAAACACACTCAGTTGGCTGCAAAAAATGTTTTTGTCTTTACTCTTCCTACCTACTGTTCATTGTTCTCCTCTGGAGGGTACATATCAGATCTAACTCAATTCAAATGCTTGAATCAATTCCGAACATTTATTCTGACTAAATCTTTTAACTGGACCCAATTCAGTTAGGGCAGATTTGGGTAATTGAAGTGGATGTGCACAGAAAAATATCTGAATTGGCTTGAATCAATGCAGAAGCTTGCAATTTAAGCAATGGAACTGATCAATTGATCTGGTCTGTCAAATCTATTTGACCCTCCAAAACAATTCTATTTGCTTTGGACCTTTAAATATTCACTCTATCTTTCCTTCTCTCAAATGAAAACAATACTGGCATTTTTAACCACATTTAAAGGCTATTCAATTGCAGGTGGGAAATCCTTTCCCTTAGTTTCAATCTTGGCTGGAAATTCTGGGAGTTGGAGACCCAACATATCTAAAAAAGATCAGTTTAGAGGAAACCTGACTCTCTTGCAGACCTTCTAACCTCCCCTACTGACTACTATTGTTTGAAAGAGGCAGTATTCTTCCTAAACTTCTCAGAAAATGCCTTGTAATCATGAGATGATTAACAAACCATCACCCAAAAAGATACTTTGAGAAGTATTAAGGGTCACCAAATCTAGACATCTGAAAGAGCAACTGCTTCCCTAGAACTCAAACTGGAAGTTCAACCAGATGGTTTGCAACTGTTGAGAAACCAACTTTGATAGGGGCAAAATTGCTTGCCCTTTTTATCAGCAGACACCCATGTACATCTTTTTCCAAATTGGTATTTTTTGGTGGAAAAATGTCTGATTTGGTTAGAAGGACCAACCTGTCAGCCAAGTTTTGATGCCCATCATCTGTTTTCTCTGTCCTAGTCTGACAAAATGAAATAGGAAAGGAAAGGAATCTAGTGCAACTTTGAGTCATCCCACATCAAAGGATGACTAATCTGTCTCATTTACAACAAATTACAGATTAAGACCTTGGTCAACAAGGATCCAGACAGAACCTCAGAGATAATAAAACACTTTCACATCAGACAGATAGTCTGATGTGGAATGGAACACTTTCAGGTCATCATCACATGTTAAATGATGCAGTCAATCAATTCAGGAGATTGCAATCCAATGTGATTTCATGTCCCATTTTTTCCCCACAAGGTAGATCAACTGTAGACATGTAAAGATACTTTCTACATTCTAAATTTATTACAGGAAAACATGTTTGAATGACTGTCCAAAAGTCAGCTGCAAAGAGCACGTTATGCACATTTAGTCTGCAAGGACCTCTTTCATTCCAAGTTGAACCCACCCACCCCCCAAGATCTCCTTTGCTGGGGGATGGCCAGTTTTGGGATCAACCATTTTGGGCCCTTCCAGATAAATGTCTGACTTAAACTCAAACTATCAAAATGAATCCAGGGTCTCCCCTTGTGTAAAACTAACTGAAGAGAAAATGGGTTCATGAAGCAGTATTTGCAATACCTTGGCTGACCTTGTGGACTTCTGTATTTTTCAAAGATAAGAACTAAGATTTGCCAAGTTCTTGCATGAGATCAGACTAGAATGACAAGAAGGGCAAAGCGTTTGGTGGCACAGGTGACATCGTGTAAATGTCAACAGCGGAGTCTGTCCCCCCGAAAGGTCAACCTTTGCGGTACCCCAATATTTTGCAAATCCCTCAAGCAACCTTTTCCAACCTAGGAGCCCTCCAGATGCACAGACTCATTCTCAATATAGTCTGAACTGTGCAACCATTGCTGAGAATTCTGGCAGTAAAGTTCACACATCTGGAGGGCCTTCAGACTGTGACACGCTGTGAAAAAA